AATGGGGATTACATAACCTATTTAAGTAGTCGGCCGTTTCTAAACGCACTCCCGCATTCGCAGCCGCATGTAATTGCCCGCGGTTTCCCTTCCTCGCTCGTAAGACGATAAATCCCCGTGAAAATATTCAGGTTTATGGCCGCAAGCGTCGGGACGGAGGACATCGGGCTGCCGCAACGGAGCGGCGTGAAAAAGACCGGAAGAGTGCACAATGCGAGTTAAAATCATTCTGAAATCTTATCTAGGCGATAAGCGAGGCGAAGGGGCTTGGGATTTGCCGGGAAAGGGTCAGGGCTCCGAGGTCCCTCCCACCTCGGACTTTTGAAGGGCTTTTTTAACCCTTTCGAGCGTTGTTTCGTGAAAAATGGACACACGGCTGAGTACGTGGGGTCTGATAGAGGAAGATGCCACGGTATATACTCGGCGATGCTCTTCGGGAACCGTGATATATCCCAAAAAGTGATCTTCGCACCCGCCATGTTGCTTAAGACTCGGCGCTCGGTGTGGACGTGACTTATCTTATCGCCGCTAGGCGGCGCCACGATGGTAGGTAACGTCGGTCGTGTTCCTTGGAATTACTTGACTTACTTGAACCGGGGAACGTCGTCGTCCTCCTTTTAACTGCTGCTCTGCCGTAAAGAAGCATCTTGCAGCCTGGTCGCGGTTAAGACTTAATTAAGGGAACGAGTGGTTACGCGTGGGTGGTCCGGCACTAAAAGCCACCACTAGGGACTTTCTAACTCGAGCTCGCCTGTAGTTTATGGTCAAGGGAAAACCTTCGCTTTTAAGAGCTCCTCCGAGCGCTCTCGAATGCCCCGACACTTACATTATCGAGGCATAAGCGCTTCTTGCGGCGAATGGGGGAATTAAAATCCCTTAACGCCACCCGCGGGTTGCCGCTAAAGAAGTTCTTCATATTTATTACCCCACGGATGGAAAAAGACATTTGCACTTTTAAAGGACCGAAGGATCGGCGAAGTTTCCCTCTTAATGCAGGAATTATCCCAATGGAAATCTTTGCAATTACGTCGAATTAACGGATTTTAGGGATTAAAATTGCGGGGACGAAATGGAGGGCAAGATTCCTGGATTTTCACGTGTCCGAGAATCGAACGGCTGACGAGCGTGAAGAGGGAAACTAGAGGAGGAAAATTCCCATTTTGTCCCCGATTAGGGACGTAAAGAAGTCGGCCAAAATTCCTGGATTTTCCCATTTCCGAGAATCGAACGGCTGACGAGCGTGAAGAGAGATTACAGATATCATCCGTATATTTTACATATTTTATCCGTACATTGAACGGATTTTTTTCCACATCGCGTAAGAACCGTGAGAGAAGACCGCTTCTACTTCTGAAGGATCAACGACAAGTAGTAAAAAACGGATTCCCTCGAGTGGCGACCTGAAAAGCATAGAAAAGGTCAACGAGCTCTCCTCGAGGGAAGGATCCCCGATCCAAAAGGATCGGCGATACGGATGCCCATAAACGCGGAATTTCTCCGAGTAGCGGCGACCTGGAAAACCGAATAGGTCAACGCATTCCCATAACAAGGGAAAAGATGGACAAGGAAGTGCCATAGAGGTTAATCCCAAATCCGAAGGGATCACTGTTAACAAAATTCCTAAAATTTATACACTTTTAGTACATACGGTTGCAGTGAAAATATTTATTTCATTTATTAACAGTGAATTTGGCTACTAAGAGCGCCTGACGTTTGGTCGAATATTCCCTGCACGGTCAGGGGAATTTCGCCCATATGTTAAAATGGCTCCGTGTTCAAATGGTTAATATACATTTATTATCACTCTCTCGTATCACTTTGAATTCCCATTTTGTTCCCGAGGGACGTAGAGAACCAGGACAAAATTCCTGGAATTTCCGGTTTCCGAGAATCGAACGGCTGACGAGCGCAAAGAGGCGGAAAATTCCTGGAAACTCCTAAAAAATTTTATTTTTCAGCGTCTAAGATAGGGCAGTCTCTAAAATCGTCCTCGAACGTTCCAGGAACCTATATTAAATTTGTTTGCAGGAAAAAAAGCGATATTAAACCTTTTTTTTATATATATGTATATAGGCTGACTCTCATATCACCTTAACCCTTTGAGCGCTGATCCCTTTTGGCTTTTGGGCGAATTTCGTCAGGGCGTGCGAGCAATATTGAACCAAACGTCGGACTTATGGGTTCATAGCGCTCAAAGGGTTAAAAAAAGGGTTAAACGATTTTTTTATATATGTATATAGGTTCATAGCGCTCAAAGGGTTAAAAAAGAACCAGAGGATGTGAATTCGAACTCTTATAAGGGAGTCCCTAACGAGGCCCGACAGCTGCTGGGGGTCATCCTCTCCTACCGTTTCCATATTCCTTAGAATTAGCCGGACGACCTGGCCAGGAGTCCGCAATCATCCTCCAAGCTACTTGCGAGCGGTAATCTAACCTAACTGCGGGTAATGCAGGTCTTTTAAGCTGACATTCCTCCCGATGATCGTCCAGCACCGCGATCTCTATGTTTACGGCATCCTGACGTCTACGCATCCGTCCGCGATCCCCAGGGTCCTCCTCGCGTCATCCTCGTCGGTCCCCCGTCCAAGTGGACGCGCAGGACCGTCTTTAAGTTTCATGACCATTTTCCTGTTCATATGTCACAGTTTCATGCAGGAGTTAGCTAGAATCGCGGTACCCTTGTCGCCGAACCCTCGGGTCCCTTTTGTTGGGTTCCTGGAGGCCCTAGAGCAGGCTCCCTCCCGAGAGCACCAGGAGGCCAAGATGGCCAGCAAAGGCAGGTTCTCGGCATGGCCCAGTAACCCGAATAACCCGAGTACCCGAGGTTTGCTTGTGATCCAACTTTTCTTCGGCATCTCGCCCCACCGGGTCCCAGGATCAGCTTCTGTCTCCTCCTCCGTCCCGTACCCTGGAGGCCCTTGGACCGCGCCGCGGTCGGCTGCTCCAGGTTTCCGTGTCTTACTTTTCGCGGGCTCTCCCTTCTGGACCCACCTGGACCCACCTGCGTAATTATCCTCCACTCCCATCGACCTGTTGCGGCCATGATTAATCATGCACGATTGCGGTCTTGTTGCGCGGGATCGGTTTTGGTGTTGGCCCCGAAAAATCATTCGCGATGCATTCAGGACCTCGGGTTCTTGCAGTATTGTACTTGCTACGTCTTAAGGTGACATGAAAGTGCCATATGTACATGTTCTGGCCATGATTAATCATGCACGATTGCGGTCTTGTTACGCGGGATCGGTTTTGGTGTTGGCCCCGAAAGTATAGTCGCGACAAACGATCAGTCCTCGAAGACGTACTCGGGACCAAGATGGCCGCCATCTTTCACCAGTCGCGTGGGTGCACTTAATTCCCCCAGTCTATTAAAATTCAATTAACCACAGAGGCTGGTTGCACCCAGGATATTAACCGTGTCCTCCTTGACGAGGATCGGCAATAACCTGAATAACCAACGAAATTCCACGAGGAGAAACCACGAGCTTGCGAGATGGAGAACCGCCTGGAGAACAGGACGCCATCGATAATACCGGTTGTCGTCGAGCATGTAATTTCGCAAAATCGAGTGTAATGCCCAAACTAAATCTCTGTCGAAAAGTCTGGATACCTTCGTGTCGACTTTATTTATATCTTCGCGTTTTCGATTCGAATACATTTTTTTTTTTAAGGGTGTTGGACCAAACTGAACTTCACTTAGATTATTTTCGTACGAAATTTGTAATTGTACGAAAGCGACAGGTGGAGTATGCCATTTGGTACAATACCCAACACAATTCCACCAAGTTGTCGATATAAAAACCAACGTAGGTATTTATAAAAACCTCCTTTATCGACGTCGATCAAGTTCCCGAGGTGTTTCGCATCACCTTAACCTCCACGAGGAGCGGACTCCCGCGTCTTCCATGGACGTCAGGTCTTGCAGAATGTAAAAAGCAGAGTTTATAGGCCCTTCGTGTCCCGAAGGATCGTAAAGATGGCATTGTTCGGAAAGGGGAACCGGTGGGACGCTTTGTTGCAGGCAGCTTCGTCACCGCGAACGGCGGGCGTTCGAAATTCCCGCCTCGGCTCGGTCGGTAAAGCAGGACTCCGCGTGATTCCCCGCGTAACCGGGTTTTACGAACCCGGGCATCGCTGATTGATATACGAATTCCCCGGGGAACAGGCTGGAGAAGTAATTAAGGTCCTGCTGCGCACTCGTGACTTTTAAGCGACTTTTAAGTCACACGCGAGTTATTTATGCCGGTCATACGACCCTTGCTAAAGACACGCGTGGACCACCGTGCGCCGTACATCATTCGGACCCGGCACTTCCCACCTCGAATTGCCACGGACAAATTGTCCGGGAATTGTCCGGGAATTGTCCGGCCTCTTCTCGCCCCCTACACCTGATTTTGATGCGTCGTAGGTTAGGTTAAATATTTGGAGAAATATAGGAATCGCAGAGAGAGACTTCGGGTAACAAAAACATGAACTAAGGCTTATTAAAAATAGGGTGAGCTTGTGATGTGGCTTGCGCCCTTTGTTATGGTCGTCTTCGTCGGTTTCAGACTGTCATCCCTTCTCGCTTCAGGATGACCTCCGTGTCCTTTTTATTTCGTTTTCCCAACGTAGCCTTAGAAGGAAATCTTTCCTTCTCGAAGGACTCTTTTATTGTTTTATGGTTTGCCAGGCGCATCCTGGGAAGGTTCCCTTAAAACTACCCAAAAATCCAAAAAGGCATCCTTTCCAAGCATCCTTAAAAAATCTATCGCTTGAGATATTTAGCAAAGATTACTAAGAAATATTTATAAATTATTCTACTACTAGGAAATCTTTCCTTCTCGAAGGACTCTTTAATTGTTTTATGGTTTGCCAGGCGCATCTTGGTAAGCTTCCCTTAAAACTACCCAATAATAACTTAAGACCACTTTCCGTTGCTACATACTTATCTTAGAATATACTCCCTTTGTTTATCCACTTATTAATTACTATACCTTCAACTTTGCTGTCCTTTGTCTCAGGTCCTCTCCTGGTTGTGCAAAAAGGGCGAAGACATCCTTTCCAAACATGGCCAACACACAGCAACCACATTGACCACTGCCAGACTTCACGAGAGGGAATTCGAGAAGTTCTACTTCACGTCCATGGTGAGTTCTTTTTTACAATTTCCACCGTGGGAAAAAATTATTTCCCTTTCAATGAAATCATTTCATTAAATGGAGTTAAATAAAATCAAGCCGAACGTTTCATTTCGGTGCCTCGCATTGATAAATTACTTCCTACCTGTAAATAATGAAGTGCAAGTCTCGTTTCTTCACCTCCATTGAATGAAATTCTTTTTCTCAGTGCATGCATAAAGTGCATGGGAAATTCGGAGGGGGAAATGAGGATTTTTAATAACATTCAGGGGACCCCCGCGACGCGCCTCCTCTTGTTTCGATTATCCCTCTTCGGGGTCTCTTTTTCCCGTCTTTTTTCCCTGGGAATTAATCGACGATAATCGATCGATGCGCCTCGTTGCACATGCAAGCCTCGAAGACAATGAACGATCCTTTTGTACGTCTCGAAACGAGAAAGTGAAACGCCCCTCCGAAGCGCAGTTGCGCCTCTCGCGGTTAAGGCGATACGAAAGCGGGATTTTTTATTTCGAAACCTTAAAAAACTGATACAACTTTAATACATGATTATGGTCCTAATGAAGGTCTTGAAGTTCACAAAATTTCAACTCTCGAAGTAAAGTGTTGTCTTCGTACGGCGCGTTTCACTTCACCTCGGTTGGGCTATGGCCGCCATTTTGGAGAACGCTTCCGCGCGTCTCGTCGAGGTATCTGTGCCGAGGTTCGTTTGATCAATTCCCTCGGTTGTCGACGAGATTGTCGGCCATTTGTCTCAATTCGTCAGGCATTCGTCAATGCCGCTTTTGGTGGGTGACTTTCTCGAATTAAATCTGCCTTAAACGAGAGACGCTCGCCGTGCATGAGGAATTGCTCCAAAAGCTGCAGAGTGGTCCAAAGCGCGACAAAAATTGCGATACTGGCACGTTGCTATCATAATTCATGATTTCTGAATACAGAGGAATTATGCGCTAATTATGTGCTAATTTAGCGCCGAATTAATTAATTTTCCTACCCCCACAGTTTTTCCGAAATTTCAAATTTCAGCGTGGCCGTGTGCTAGCTTGACGTCAAGCCATCACGTTCCTTTCTTAAACAATACAGAAATATGAAAACAAGTACACCAAATTGAAGGGGAAATTACGTGCTAATTTTGTGCTGTAATAGTTTTTTTTTTCATTAATAAGAGTCGATTTTTACCAACTCCGTCGTACGTCGATTCAAATCGTGGCGGTAAAAGAAGCGGTCCGCGTGTCGCCATCTACCGGCGTCGCGCGGAACCTGGTACACGATCCTTTCACTCAAGGGAGCCCCTGAGCGAGTCCCGCAAATTGAAATAGTTGGAAAAAAGTTTGTCAGTAATGGCAGTAATTATTCCCGGCAGTTAAGCCACCGGAATCCAATCTAGCGGATCCGATAATGCCGGCGCTCGATTGCGGCCTTCAATTTAGTGCAATAGTAGTTCTGCAATTAAGTCTACCGTACCGACCGAGCTGATGGGCTCGATTAGTACTTGGCGAGTGAAAAGCGACGAGCAGACGATCTAAGTAGGCATCGGTGTCTTTATCACCAGGTAACCAGGCACGGGAACTTCCTCTTTTTGTTTTTTCGGTTCTTGTCTCCCTTCTGGATAAGATTTCTTAAGATATTTAAATATCCACGGAATGTTGATATTTCTTTGATTTAAAATTAACTTCCTCCTTCGGAGTGGCGTCCCATTCCGCAAGGAAGTCACTTTACCGACGAAGGCTAAGAATCGGTTCGGTGCCGATGGTAAGGTTACCAACCGATAGAGAAACGAGCTGCAGCGACCTCCAATCCACGCCGGATTTTCATGGAACTTAAAAATCAATAAATTAAGTTTCCAATATGAAGAATGCCGCACATGAACGATATACGGCATCCGCTAGGTTATAAACGTCTTTTAAGACACATGTAAACACGGAAATAATTTAAGGAACAATGAATTAATTTGGGACTTGTATAAAAAATTCTTTGGAATTTTACGCTTTCAATATGGCGGCTTCCGCAGATGCGCAATATATGTTGGCGTCTTTTAGCGCACTGAATTGTTAAGAAATAATTAATTTGCCGCTTGGCTTGAAATTCTTTCGATTTAAGTAATAAGGTGTTGGTATATTCGTGGAGTAATAGATTTGCGAGCACGCGCGAGTTAATTAGGATCGCCTGTCATGGCGGCGGGTCGTTCGTTTCGAGGTGCTTCGCCGTTCTCGTAACCCAATTACAGGTCGCGAGAAATAGAAAAGCCGAGGCGAACGAGGGCGATTGACGTAAAGTCGGCGTAAAAGGGATTAAACGCGTTTTAATGGATTTTAAGGCACGGGATTAGGCGAGGTAGAGGGCCACTTCCTTCGCGACGCGCCGCCATCTTGGTTCCCGGGTCTCCGCCTTCGTTTTATCTCCGGCGATTTGTGACGAGAATGCGTATCTTATCGACTTGCCTATCAGGGACAAAGGTGCCAGGTTGAAGGAAGTTTTAGAGCCGGCTAGAGCTTTCTAGTCGCGATGCGCAATAATTATTCATTAATTGCAATCCGCAGGTGGCGGCGATGCGCGACGCCTCCGCCATGATGGATGGTCTCGCTTCTGCTACCCTTTCGAAATTTACTGCTTCTTATGCAATTATAAGGATGAATTTCACTTTTTTTTACGATTCCAACCCTTGGGATGAAACAATCGGGGCACAATTAATTGTATTCCGATTTATATTTCATTTGGAGACAAAAGCCTTTGGATGTAACGAAGGCGAAGCCACATGTTATGTCCCCTTGTCGATACTTTGTTATGGTGGATTAAACTTTATTGCTGTTTTCACATGAATAAATCCCTCTGGCTTTATTAGCCCTAACCCCTCGGGTAAGATCCAATTTACACCCAAAGGAGTTTATCCGCTAAATCGGGAAAGGGATCCCTCGAAACATCTGCCGCGCGTCTGTTCCGCTCTTGAAACAGTTTCGCCAGTTTTGGGGTTATGTACGTCCTCGCCACGAGGGTTTTCTAGCGGCCGCCGGACGTGGGCGACTTTCGTCGTCCGAATTCTTCGGAGGACGTTGTTTTACGCGTTTTTCCACTTTTGGTCGGGACTTAGGCTACTCACGTCCTGCGGTTCTTTCTTTCCCAGAAGGAACCGTAAAACGCGCATTCTTTCCCTCTCTTCGCGCGGTTCGAACGCCGTGCGCCATTTTGAAAGCGGAGGGCCCGCGCGTCCACCTCGGAAATTCAATTCCCTTTTTTGGCGATCCAGATGCATCTTAGGCGAGGAAACCGAGGAAACTCGATTCGTTGGTCGTGAACGTGTTAAACTACGCCCACGCGGGGAAGAGGGCGCGAAAGTAGCGACTCTATCGCGAGGATTTAGTAAAAGCCCCGCGTTCGACCCACTCGGCGCCGCCATTTTGAAAGCTACCACACCTCGGCGGATCACATCGGAATTGAATTTCCTCCTTCGAGAAGTTTACCACCTTTTTCGCGTGTCATTGAGTGGAGAGGACTTAGCAACTTCCTGTCACTTGTACATACAAAAGATTAGCATTTAACCAGGCCTTTCGAAAGTTACTTCCGATATGTCGGCACTTCTCGCCGAGCGGTTTTTTCTCCATACACTGTTTGTTGGAAGTTTTTATACCATCAGGAAATAATAAGACCCATGTGGAGTAGGCGATGATAAAATTCCTGGACATTCACTCGCTCGATTTTTTTATCTGCCCCATTTTCGCAGCCTTATCATCACTCCAACCACACTGTTACGTTTGTTGGAATTTTTTGGTACCATCAGGAAATAATAAGACCCATGTGGAGTAGGCGATGGCGAGGCCTCCGTTCACTCGCTCGATGGCAATCGTAATGGCCGCCTCGACGACAAGAAGAACGATATCTGCACTCTTGCACACGTAGAATGGCATAGTTGCGATGAAAGTGGCCCATAGTGTAGGCTAAGCGGCCGATTCATAGTCGATCGCCTCGTTATACCGTAAAGGCGTGCCCGTGCCTTATTTCCATTAAAACGATGCTTTATAAGACCGATGAAAACATGGCCTTTTCCCCTATTATAGAATGCGAAATTAGCGAGGCGAATCTACTATCAATAAGTCGATATTTTCGTAGATTCACAGATTATTAATTGACTTATTATTAAAAATGATATGCGTAAGCCTCAAGGAGAAGTATAAAAAATGGGTCCAACTGTTCGCTTCTATGATCCTGGACAAAGTGGCGTTCCTAACCTTTGTCCGTAGGGACAGTCTTGGTCTAGCCATATCAATTGTTTAGGCATCTTCTAAACAATCACGTCTTCTCGCCTATACTTACAAGGCACCTGAGGTGTTCCCCTCCGATTTTCTTCATTTTTAAATATGTTATAGAGGACTAAAATCTAAGGGACCCGTGTTTTTGTTTATCGGCGGATAAACACTTTTATGGGGTGAAATCAGGCTTCAAGGTTGGCCGTGCAAGGGGGTGAGTTCGCTGTTTCATATAGAAGCACTCGACCGATGTTCATGAAACAGCCGTTAAAATGTAGGGAATGAAGAATTATGAAACATGCATTTGGAATTTCTCGAGAAAATTCATTTTCAAGGGGTGAGCCACCCCTTACGCGAGCAGCAATTGCTCTATCCAAATGAAACTTGGTTAATTTATATACCAGAACAATACAAAAAAATTACCTTCCTCGTTAGAAATACCCTATTACAATACCGTAACGAAGCTTGGAATTTTTCCTCCGTCCGTCCTTGGATGGAGTACCGCAGCGATGGGCTAATTGAAGTCGGAGCTGCAGAATTTTCTAGGCCACCTAAGAACATCGGAAAGACCTTAAGAATATGTCCGCGTAATCTCGGAAAGTAGAAACGCATGTCGGGCCCCCACTTGTGGCATTGAAATACCTCGGTTTCCGTGGAATGCTCTTCCGATGTCTCCTGCGTCGGCGCCTAGCCCGGGGGCGCGGCAAATTCGAATTTAATCGGGAGGGGGGAAACTGGTCCGGGGCGCCGAAAGGAAAAGGCATTCTTACC